GTGTTACAACACGATATTGGCCTGTACTCCATGGCTGTCCGAGGCATATCTGTCTTTGGTATGAGTGAAATAATAGTTGTATTGAGCTTTTTTCGTATTTTCCCAGTGTGGAAAAATTCTAAAACAGTTTCAATAATGTCATTGCCAATTACATCCCAAGCGTGTTTATAGAATCCACTTCCATACCCGTCTGGTCCCGGACTTTTATTACTGTCTATCTCAAACATGGCTCTCTTTACTTCTTCTCTATTACCTCCTTTATTAGTTCCATTTGCTGATTGATATCCAATCTTGCCCCTTTACAAAATATTTCCTCTTTGCTGGTATCCTCTGTTCTGCTTTCCCCAGTAACTTTCAAAGTACCCAACAAAATGATATTCCACCTGATCCCATTCTGCTTCAATACTATCATCCTCCTTGATGTATGATATGATTCTATTGTGCATTCTCCTTCCCCTGAGACTGGCATGAAAGAAAGTTGAGTTTAGGTCACCTTCCTTAACCCAATTTTCTTTGATCTTCTGTCTTCCAAAACTGATTACCGCTTGGCTTTTTTCCATATATTGCTCACCTGCCTCTTTTTCCTTTCTTTGCAATTCCAAGTCCCCTGGATTTGTTTCTAATTGTACTTGTATCATTTCCAGCTGTTTCTTGAACTCTTGTTCCTGCTGCTCTATTTCAGAGAAGTTGCTCTTATTTAACTCTTTTAATTTCCAATTCAGTGTTTGCTACTTCTTGGCTACTTGAAACTGCTTTGTTCCATCTACTATGATCTGCCAGTGATTACTTATGATTTCCTTAAACTTTGAATCAGCACCCCACATGTTGAAATATTTGAATGCTTGATTTTTTCTTCTCTCTTCAAGCTTCATATTCACCCCCAGTGGTGTATGATCAGATATTCCTGCCTGAATCACAATTGTGTAGCAGTTCTCAAACGTATGCACCCATTCTTCATTGATCAGTGTTCTCTCCAGTCTTGCTAAAATTCTGTCCTCCCCCATTCTTTTGTTATTCTAGGTGTATTTTCCTCCAACTGTCTTCATGTCTGTTAATTGACAATGATCTACCACATATTGGAACATATCTGTATCTTGGCTTCCATCTCTTGTCCCACCATTTTTTTCCTCCTTTTTAAGCACACTGTTAAAGTCTCCTGTTATCAACCATGGTTTCTGGTGACTATCATATATATCCAGCAGTCCTTGCCATAGTGGGTTTCTTCCTGCCACTTGAGGATCACCATATACTACAGTAAGTAGAAACAGGTTCTGTGCTGCTGCTTTTTAAACTTCGCAATGTACATATTGCTCCTCACTTTTTAGTACCTCCACCTTATACTGTTGCTTGTGCCATATTGCTATTATCCTACCTTTGCCCTGTGTTGTATGGTCGCTGTGGTAGTCATACTGTTCCCACTTTGTAGTCATCAATTCTTGAGCTTTCTGTCCAGTTAGCTTTGTTTCCGCAACTCCTACTAATCCCACTTTATCAATAGAGAGTGCATGCTGCAACTCTCTGTGTTTCAGGGGGCTATTTAGCCCCCTTATGTTCCAGAATAAGAGGCTATCCATTGAGGCTAGGTCCCAGGATAGTATATGTTGCAGCTCCTTTTTTCCCACCTTCTCCATTTTGCTCCTCATTAATATCTTCCCCATTCTCAGTTGTTATCTTTGCTGGTAACTTTCCTGTGCCCTGTACCTTGACTCTTTGATCTCTGTTCTTTAATACAACATTTTCCTTAGGTATCTCAGTCTTTTCAGTCGGATCTTTTGTAATTTTCTGCTTCCAGATCTTTCTTTCCACTGGCATTCTTTTCCTAACTACAATTTTGCAAGCTGTTCCTTCATGGCCTATACCTTTGTATTTCGAGCATCGCACAGGTAGCCAATCATACTGGAGTTCTTGACTCATCACAACGCCCTTTTCATTTTCATAGCTGATCTCATTTGGCATACTCTCCTGTATCTCCAATTCCACTAGGACCCTTGCAAATTCTGCTCATTGTTTATGGGCTGTATTCTCGTCCATCTTAATTGGCACTCCAATAGTACTCATGATCGAGTTTACTCAGCATTCCTGCGTTCCAATATCTCAGAGGCAATTTTGGTAGTTTAACCCATACTGGCACCTTAGCTATTTCTTCAACTTTTATCCCTTCCTGAATGGACCAATCTTTGATAATGAATGGTTTATTATCAAAGTGGTACATATTATACTTCAGAAACTCTTCTTTTGCAGTGAGATGTTTGAATCGAACCACAAAAATACCATTCTCTAACTGCAATATTTTATCAATCCCTAGCTTTCCCCAATTTCTTCTGACAAATCCACTCATCACAGGGTATGGTAATTTTGCTCCCAACACATAGCACAAAATAGATGTACTCCAGTATTCAATCTCTGCTTGGATATCAATCTGATCTATTTTAGGTAGGTTCTTATTATTCACCAGTGTTGGTTCTACGAATTCGAATTTTGTCTCCACATCAAGCAATTCAGTCCATTTCTTCACATTCCCTTGCCCTGCGCCTTCATCATTTTGCCCTAGATTATCTGTATTCATCCCTTCCCCCTCCCCAATTTTCACAATTCTCTGATGACATAGCTCTTCCAACAATTTATCATGCGAATTCAAAGGACAGGAATTACCAGTTGCCAGCGCAATTCGAGATGAAAAGGCTTCAGATCTACTCACCGGAGTTGTCTTCGCCGGACTGTCTTGCATATAGCTTCGCACTTCTTCCGCCGGCTGTTCCGTCTCCTCCTCTACTGCTTTTCCTTTCTTCTTCTTTTGCTGCCTTGCCATTGCAGGCGCATCAATTACGCCAAGCGCTCAAGAGGAAGAATGCGTAATCGCACGCAGTAAATGGTAATTCGCCCACACCAACAATAGTTGAAGCCAAAGTTATTTCACTACCTCCATTTCATTCATGATGCACATTTTTCTTTTCTTTTTTGGGAAGTTTTAAATTTAGTCCTACTTCAAAAACTAAATTAAATTTTATCTTACTATTCTCGTTGAAATAAAAAATATTTAATTTTATTTTCACTATTAGGTTCATTTTCATCTATTAATTAACAATTCAATATGGATGTATAAAGAAATTTTGCTTCAAACTTAATTATATAAATTACATCATCTATATTTTTGTGTATTAAGGCTGTACATGGATCGGTTCAAATCGGTCAAACCGGTCAAACCGATCCCCAATTCAGATTCATGAGCAGATTAAAAGTGCCTTCTGAAACCGCTGGTTTGTAATTTTAAAACCCTTACATAACGGTCCAGTCTACGGTTTAACACTAAGAAACCGGGAATCAATCCAGACCGTACTGTATATAATTAAATATAATAATAATAATAATAATAATAATAATAATAATAATAATAATAATAATAATAATAGTTTAGTAGTTTACTTTCGCCCCATAATTTTTATCCTTCTTTTATCTCCCAGAAACCCTATCATATAAATTTTTTTTTTCTTTTTCCTCTCCCAAATCTCAAACGGCGAATTCCTCCACGCTTCACCCTCCACCGTCGATTTCTCTACCATCGATTGTCCCGATTTCTCCATCCTCCACCGCTGGCTGTCAATGACATCCTCAATTGGTGTCAATCTACACCCTTTAATCTTGTTCCTTTTTCATTCTCTCTTTTTTGGTGTTTTTAGTCTCCAGAACCTATCTTATCTTTTGAAGAATTCTTTCGAGTGAGAGACCGTTTTATTAAGGCAATCTCCTTCCTCTTTTTTCATCTGTAATTATAACTGTTTATTTATCTTATCTGCTCAATTCAATTCCAGTTGTCTTCGTTTTGTCCTTGTTTAGATCGGTAATTTCCTTTGGAAAAATGTGTTTTTTTGTTGTTTAATTTATTGTTCTTCATGGTCGGTCGGCTGAATATCATTTGAATTTATTGTTTTCATTGCTCTACTGATAGTTTTCCTAACAATGGGGTCACCATGGCTGTGTTTGAGTCCAAATAATGTGTAATTTTTTCTCCAAATGTAATTATCTCGGTGAAGTGGCTTTCTTTATTGATTAAGCTTTTCTATGTGGCTTCTTGACTATTGAAATGTAGCAGGTGACTAGTTTGGTTGCAAGAAAAAACCAACTTTAGCCAGAGTAAACATTACTGTGCAGAAGGGGAAGGCAATAAAGCTGTTAAAGGTTTCCAAACTTAATGACAACTCTTGGTGGTCAACCTTCATTGGTGTGGACTCCAGATTTATTTTAGCCTTTTTTGTTATACTTTTTTTCCTAAATTTTGATTTAATTAGATTGTATTATAATTTTGTTAAGATAATTTCTAGCCCAAAACTCATGATTCTTAAATTGGGTCAAATGTTTTTTTTATGTTTGAAACAGAAAAGAAGGCCAAATTATAAATAAAATAAACAAAAAGTCTAAAGAGCCGAAAAACAAAAGGTCCAAATTGTCAAAATAACAAAAAGTCAGCCCAAACCGTGAAACCGTCCAATTCGGATCATTAAATACGGTTTAATTTGGTGTCACGCCTCGCGGGTCGAAGGCGGGTCACGGGTCAAGTTTTAATTAGGTTTTTCGAATTAGGGATGCGGACGACGTCGTTTGGAGAAGTTTGCTGCCTACGTTTTGTCTGCTGGATATTTCTATGCATGCATGACTCAGCACTTGATCTGGAAGCTTCCTCAAATTACTTTTGCGTAAAAATAGATTAATTACTTTAAGTTAAGCAGTAAATTGAGAGTTAGTGATGAGGATTAAACCATTTTTGGCATTGTAGGAGAGATCATGTTGTTTTATGAATATAATCATCCTTATCTCATCTTCCCTCTTTCTCTTTCTTGCTGTCTGTCCTTTCTTCATCTTTCACCGTCCAAATTTTTGCCAAATCCATCCTACTTTCTCCTATCCCTATTCACCGTTGATGCATTACCTGATTTGGTAACAGAACCTTAGTATAAGACATCCTTATAACCTGACATTTGGTTCGGTTTCAAAATTTTAACTGGTCCATTGTGGTTTCAGAATTTTCAAAACCGTTGGTAGCGGTTTGGTCACGGTTTGGCCCAAAAACTGGACCGTAAACACCCCGAGACTACTTACCTATTAAATTGGGGCGGAAAGTGTATTCATCATTTTCATATACTCCAATGGAGGAGGCAACCATCATAATTCTCATTGGATAGGAGTATAGGTCCATCTTAAACCGGCACCAAACTTTCTTTCTTCTGGAGACGGGCCATAAAAGCGAGAAAATTCCATAATATTTCTCCTTTGTTCCTCCTCTCTTTCAGTCAATCACGAAAATAATTTTAACGAATGACATCAGGTAAAATTATCATTCTGTGCCTGAAAAATTTCTTCTATTGTTTCAATCAGAATAAACCTGCAAAATTTTATTCGAAGGTGTAGCTCAATCTCTTGTAGCTTCCCTGTTGTATGTTAAATTTGTTTTTTCCGTCTGGGGTTTCCTAAATTTTTCTTTATTTTCATGTTTCGAAGCTCTCAGATGGGTTTTCTTTGTCGAGTTAATTCTTATGATTATCACGTTTTGATTCCATTTTGTTGTGATGGGAGCTGCTGAAAGACTTCATTTTTATGCTATACTTTTGAATTTTGCAAAAAAGTTTTATTTTGTGCTCCAGTTTTGACTTCGGAATCTGCCGCTGCTGATTCTACCGAATTAAAATTTATGTTTTTAATGTTTATGAAGTTAAACTGAATTTTCAGGGGAAGTCACGTACCATTTCTTTGCTCAAATTTAGTCTTTAGCTGCTAGGAGGTTTCTGACTATATGTCTTATGTCTTTCAGACTACGGGAATCTTGTAGCAGAGCTGGAAGCAGCTTCAAGATTGAGGAGCGCTCACTTTTTGGTCACCCAAAGGCCATGGCTTGGTAGTTTCCCTGTAGCATGCTGTTCTTGTTTCTTTGTGTATGCATTTTGGGATTCTCCAATCGATGTATTGTTATTACCTTGTTTGACTATCTATTGTTTTCTTTGCCTAGATCTTTATGGGGTTCATGTAAGGCCAGTGGCTCCTTTTGGTAGTGCAAGCAGTAAACCAGTTGTTGATGGAGCTCTGATCCACCGTTGCCTACCTGATGAGCTTATTTTTGAGGTATTCATCACTGCCTTAATCTGCTTAGAGGTTTCAGATTCCTTTACCATGCTCAACCTTGTCATTTGCCAGTTGTTCCTTTTTTTCTGTCTCTTTTGTTGTTTTAGGCATCATTTGAAAGTTGCTTATTACATTGTGTGTGCCAGTTGAGATGCACTTCTGTTGTACTTCTTTGGTTCGTGGTGGGGAAATGGTTTTATGAAGCTAGCCTGTTGAACTGATGTTGAAACTCATCTGTTACCTTTTAAGCATTATGCGATAAGTATTTTGAACTGATAGGTAACGAGAGAGAGAAATTATAAGCAGTTATGGGCCACATGGCAGAGATTATTTGGAATCCATTTCAGAATCCTGTTACTTACAGAATTTTCACTGGTGTGAGAAAAATAGAAGTCTCTTCAACACTTACTGTTCTGCAACAAGAGTTATATACGCTTAAGGTCAGCATTGGATAAAGCCATTGCCAAGGTGGAAATTGCTTGTATTTTGACATAGAAATTGGGTGGTGGCAGTGTAGTGATTGGGTTCTGTATGCTAGTAGATGTGTGACTGGGTTTTAATATGGTAGTAGATATGTAACCATAGAGTGGACAGTTTTATATTTAAATCAAGGAGAAATTAAATCATGTACTGGAAATAAATAAATGAAAAGACATTATTTCGGCTAATACCTAAAAACAGCTGTATTGATATAAAGGAAGTAGTTTAGCAGACTGGGTCAAAGCCCCAGAGCAGAGCACTATGGTATTAGCAGCAGCAAATCAAATCCAGCTCCACAATAAAACCAGGCAAGTAATAGTGAAACACTACAGAACAGGTTATCGGAATGTAATGGTAAAGTTACGAAGTACATTCACCATCACAGAAATTTCTAGCCGAGCGTGCACATGCATAAAAGTCGAATTTTCAGCAGACATTATGGCTGTCCACAGAGAGACTTGTCACTCTGCGTTATTATGAGCTTCTTAGTGTAGCTTCCATTGGAGTTTAAACCAAAAAGGAGCATGCTGTTTAAATGAAGGTTTTTAGCTATATCCTACTAAGGCCTTGTTCTAGGAGCAGGGGATGTACAAATTTGAGGCCTTTGGGCCTCGATTACTGAGATAAAATTAGTGCTATCTTTTCTCTAATTTATAAATGCTGCGGTATACCAAAGCTGTATACATTAAGTGTGCTTACTAATGCAGTTATCCAAGAAGGTCAGCAATATGCTACAATTAGCTAGTACAATAATGCAATACTTATAAAATCAGCAATGCCATAGCTACTGACTAGGTACAATTATAAAATGACACCGTAACAGATTAAATTTTGAAGCTTGGGTTGCATCTGATATAATTGTATCCTGGCTTATTTCTTGGCCATTTGAGGACCAGATTTCTTCTCCAGGTTTTGATAACCGAAGATCTAGAGTTATAAAGTATTTTGCTCTAGGAAATGATTGTCTCTCTTAATTTGTCTGAAGGTTGAACAGAATTGGTAAATCGATCCGCTCAATGAAAAGGGAAAAATTAATCATAGGAAGAGGTGAATACTTTTTGCATAACCACCAGATATCATGCTAGATGACACCCTTGTTCTTATCCATCAAAATGAGTACCCATGCTTTAAGTTTTGCTTGGTGATCGGTTCACTCATTTTGTGGACAAATTTCTGTCATTTGTTACTAAGGTGGCGCTTTGGTTATGGTAGACATGTTTGTCTGAAAAAGACTATTCTTTTTTCAATCAAGTTCAGTCTGCCTTCTAATGGTAGACCTGATGCATTCTTCAGTGCTTTCAAACTAGATTTCCAGTTTCTGTTATTATTCTTTAGTCAGTTGCCCTTGATATGGTGCTGAATATTGTATACCTTTGAAGTTGGAGCAATCATACACAAGGGAAAGCTCAGAATATATGGAAAAAATACCAAACTTTTAAGAAAAAGGGAAAACAATCTGAAGTTGCAGGATAACAAGAATGAAGAGTGGTTGGGCCTGTTTGGCCAGAAACTTGATCAATTCCATTCCTTTTCTATCTGGTTTTATGCTGCAGATTTTTTCCAAAATGACTCCATACACCTTGGGGAGAGCAGCATGTGTTTGTCGGAAGTGGAGATATACCATTCGTAACCCTGCGTTTTGGCGCAATGCATGCCTTAAGGCTTGGCAGGTAAGAGTAGTTGATTTGTGCAGTATGATTACTTGTTTATGAAAGAAGTTCTCCAATGTTGTGCCTTTTGTCATGAAGATTGCTGGAGTGGCTGAAAATTACAAGACTCTTCAGTCAAAATATGATGGATCATGGAGACGAATGTGGCTTTGCAGACCAAGGGTTCGAACAGATGGTATGGCGCTCTTGTCTATCTGTATCAATTTGGACTGGATATAATTTCTTCAGATGTAAATATTTTGGGGTTAATCAGTTTTCTTACACAGTATGGTGCTACTGGATCAGTGGACCTTTGCCTAATGTCATGTTTTGTTCTTCAGGCATAGAAATGTTACTTAAATATGAAAAGAAGCGAGAATTTTTCAGGCTATGTTCGAATATATCATTTCCTACTCACAACAATTTAAATTTGCTTCGGGTGGATCTGGGTGTCCCTATTATTATTTCCTGGCTGCACCATTTGCAAGCCTCCGGAAGGGATTCTGAGCCTGTTTCACTGTTACATTTTTCATTTTAAAATAATTACAGGGTAATTTACTATGAATAACCTTAAGTAGGCTTTGAGTGATGCAATGTTTTGTTCTTCAGGCATATAAATGTTTAATATGAAAACAAGCTAGAATTTTTCAGGTTATGTTCAAATATATCATTTGCTACTCCCAACAATTTGAATTTGCTTGGGATGGATCTGGGTGTCACAAATGTTATTTCCTGGCTGCATTCGTTGCAAGCCTCCAAAAGGGATTATGAACCTGTTTCACAGTGACGTTTTTCATTTTACAATAATTACAGGTTAATTTACTATGAATCACCTTAAGTGCCCTTTGCTGCTCTTAGCCTTCCTAGGCTTTGTGCCTCTAGTTGTTTCTGATGAATCAACTTAAGTACCCTTGTCTGCTCTTAGCCTTCCTAGGCTTTGTAACTCTTGTTGTGTATGGTGAGTACTTTGCATTTTTTGTTTTTGCTTTTATTTCTTTTCCGAGCCGTGCCTCTGTCTCTTTTCTCCTCCTTCAACTTCCTCTGATGCAACCTCCTTACGGCTGAAAGGTCGCAAACTCAATCGGTGCATGCCCTAAATTCTGGAATAGTTGGTAGTTCCCATTTTAGAATTCTGAGAGACTGTGTTTCTTTAGCTGTTCTGTTATTTTTGAAGATATATAAATTTTGAAAATGATTTGTAGTGAAAATATATAGTGAAATGGGATTGTGAATGTTGTGGCACTCTGTAATCACACTATTGTACTCTGTTAGTGGGTAGTTGTTATGAATGGAAGTTGGCGATTGTCTTTTCGTTGGTCACTATCTTTTTTCATTATAATTTTTCCACTGGCTGTATCAATGCTCTATTAATTTTAGTACTATATGACGGTCTGCTGATGCTGAATGCGTGTGCATATTTGCAGGTCTATATGTCAGTAGGAACACCTACATCCGTGCTGGGGTCGCTGAGTGGAAGATGACCAAGCCAGTTCACATTGTATGTTTCTGTTTGGACTGCAATCTTAAATAACAATATGTGTGCACGTTTTTCTTCTGCTTGGAAGGGTAGACAATCTTCACTTAAATGCAAATTCTGAGATACTACAATCTGAATGGATGTGGTTTCTTTGTCGCTTGGCATATGATGTTGCCATTGAGACTGAGCTGTGCTCACAAGCTGATTCTTGTATCTGTATTGCATCACATTCAAGATGGATTTTACTTGAAAAGTTTTTTTAATTTCCTTTTCTTTTTTAATCTTACTGTATTTGTTTAGAGTTTGACTATTTCCATTGTTTCTGCCACCTCTTAGAGGGAAGGCAGCAGTGGGAGTCACTCATTTAGTCATCGAGAATACTGTTTGTTTCCATTTTAATGGAAATCGGGACCTTAGATTTGGTTATTCAACTGATGTTTTTGTCGTTATTCTGTATCATATTAAATTGTTGCATTATGATGGAAGTTAAGTCGGTGAGGTCATGTGGAGGGGGCATGGATTATGAGCTATCATTCACTATTAGATGTCACTTTGAATGCACCTTCGAAAGAAGTTTAGTCCCTTAGATCAGTTATCTGTTTCTTGGTGACACTAGAAGGAAACTGATTATAAAAGAATGAAATGCAAGACAAGTTGCATGTTGATGTACTCTGTTAAAAAGATATATATATATATATATATATATATATATATATATATATAAGCACGAGTGACTTTTTTTTTAAAAAAAATTTTGTTTATTAATTTCTCCTCAGCTGTCTTTGCGTGTTCATGGTTTGCTATGACATGTATCTTAATTGTGGATTTGTTATTCACTGCAGGTGTGCTATTACCGTTACTTGAGATTTTATCCTTCTGGCAGATTTCTGTATAAGGTTGTTGCAGTTGACCATCTTAGTGTAAATGTCAGATAGTTTTTCGTGACGTATATTTGACTGCTGACCTTTTTGCTTCATACTGTCAGAATTCGTCTCAAAAAGTTAAAGATGTGGCAAAAGGCATGAACTTCCGAGCCCCAAGGCATGACCTTTATGCTGGTAGTTATACATTGTCAGAGGACAAGGTCAGGCATTCTCGTTCCTCTGTTCACTGATTTTCTAGCATGTAACTTTCTCATGCATTTGTTCGCCCCAGAAGTCATGACTCCTTTATTATCCACCCCTTCTGTTCAGCCTGGCAACGAGTTTCTTCATCTTCTGCTTCAAAGTATCTAGTTCCTTTTTCCTTAGATCTAGATTTTTTTGTTTATTCAATTTACAGGTGGAAGCTGCTTTTCTGTATCCTGGTTTGCGGCCTACTGTCTGGAGAATTCGTTTAAGGTACTTGATGTGCTGCTCATGATTGCAGTGTTTGCTGTAGTATTCTATCGCTAAGGTGCTGATTTGTTACTATTCAGTGGCGTATGTTGAGATAAATTGAGGAAGGAATACAGAAATCTTAAAAGACGAAATAGATATTTCTTGTGAAAACAATTCTCAAGAACCAGCAAAAGCAAGAATGGAAAAAGATAGATAGTGAATGAGAGAAGGAGCAATTCATCTTAACAACTTCTGAGACATTGAAGCAAAATTGCCAATCTAGATTTTAACATGTATTCACGGTGGTTAAGCAGAGATACATAGTTTGAAGATATTGAACCTAGAGGTTGATACTGCTATTGAGTAAGAACAGTTGCTCACTAGCGACTTCTTTCCTTTCCGTCCATTTTAACCTGCCTAGTGGTATTCTTTTGGGTTGGTTGGGGGAAACAAGTTACTAGTTCAATTAGCAAACAGGTCATTTCATATAAAAGCTTTACTGTGTAACCTCCATTTATGCTGGAGGGTTACAATCTAGTGATAGCAATAACTTGCCGAAGGGATCATCTGTTAGTAGAGCTCACCTCTCACAAATTAGCTTCAAATCCTTAGTGTTCAGGACTTACGCAGAGTAACAAGGGTTACATCTCCTTTTCTATAAGCGTGTCGTTTTTGTATATCCGACTTATACATCCTTTCTTATCCATTGTTTTTGTTTGTAGGTTAAGGGGCACTGTAGCTGGTGCTAATAATCGGATGGACTTGCTTGCACTTGTTACCAGTGGTCTTAATGGTAGCGAGGTTACTGACTCTGATGAAGATATTCTCAACATTGTTGAAGGCTGGGCAGAAGATGAGACACACAACCCAGATGTTCCGGCGATTACTCACAAGAGGGGTTTGACACCTTTTGTCTTTGTTCCATTTGAGGAGGTAAGCATATCTTTAGTCCAGCTTTTTTATCTGGTTGTCTCCATGTTTGATGACTTATTACTTTGTTCATAAGGATCCTGTCTAATTCAGTGTTATTCCCTGCATATCATCTGATGTTTTACCCCTAATTTTGCCTGCTTTGACGACAATCCAAGGCAGATCTGGGTGTTTGTCCCTGCAATCTTCAGATCTTGGTTTTTGTCCCCAGTGCATATTTTGTGATTAAAAGATGTAATTTCTCGGAAATTCTGACGGCTTTTACTATGGTTTGATTTCTTCTGAGTTTAAGCTCATTTGGTTTAGTATTGGATTAAATAGGTTTCTAACTTGCTATAACCCTGTTCCTCGAGAAGTTTTTCTATATGTGTCTTAAGGGGACATCTATAGATTTTCCTAAAATTTCTTGTGCATTTTTTTGTGGGTGCAAATGATTGGATACTCTGGCAATGTTCTTTTCTCTTTTCAAAATAGTCAAACCTCAGTGAAGGGTACAGCTGGTAGATAGTCTTGTGATCTTTTCCAGCTGAGCTTGTCATTTTATATCATCCCTTTTCTATGCAGTCTTTCTCATCAATCATCCAGAAGCCACTGCTTTTCGTGTGATATATGTAACTGAAACATATGAAACAAGTAATTGGGCGTGCTTGTTGCTTGATATCACAGATTTGGATTTGGGTTTTCTTTTCCAAGCACGATCAGCTTTTGGTCAATACCCATTGAGCTACGCTCAATTCAACTTCTTACGATTGAGGATGATATAGGTTTAGTCCTTATCCAGTGTTCATTGGCCTTTGATCAGTTTCAAACTGAACTCAGTTTCAAGCCAAGTCATTTCCAGAAGGGGTGTTAGAAATATGATCGTACATGGGCTTCCCAAATGCTTAAAAATATTACAATGGATGAATAGAATTCTTGTGCGTATATACAGTTAGTTGGAATTGGATGCTAAGCTTTTCTTTAGCAGTTTCTCAGTCTTTTTTTTCCCCATGACCAACCAAACATTAGATACATCAGATCATAGTTATTTCCAGCATCTTTTGTATTTCAATGTGTCTCAGTGTCTGTTAAGAGACACTTTCATGGCTTTACAAATGCTCCAGGCATATCGACTTGCTTGCCGAAGATGCCTTTTCATAACTAGTTTTTAGTATGTCAAAAGAAAAATGTAGCTGAGAATCTGAGATAGTGCTTAACAATAACTTCAATTGTGTTTTCAAAACATGGTTTTTCTTGCACATTTTTTCTTTCTTGGATTATAAATGAAGGGTTTTCGAATCACCCCTTGGTATTCTTATGAAATCCAAGTTCTGCCTTATTAAACATTAAGTTTCTTCTGTAGGTGGAATCATCAGTTTTGAACCTGCCTGTGGAAAGAATGGATTATTATGTGCCTGGGTGATCCCCAAAAATATGCTGAACTGAACGTGTATATATTTTTTCTTTCCTCTGTATCTTTGTATGATATGAAGGTAGACTACAGATGATTGATACAGCCAATGTAAAATAGTGAAATAAGGCTTTGTTGTTGTTGTTCTCTGTACTCCTTGCAACAAAGTGTTTATATTTGTACTCGAAAGAAAATAGACAGAGAAAACATAATTCCATATTTTTTCATTATATTTATGGATTGGTCGTGGTTGTGTGTTACATTCAGAATGCTGATTCCAAATTGTAATTGATGTTTCAATCAAACTGCTTTTTAAGTTTTATGTTGCAAAGAATTTGTTTGGAATCTAGATTGGGTGGTCCGAATCCCTCACTTTTAAGGATTTACTAAAATATAAGTTCGTGTAAAAATTTGAAACATGCTTATAATGTATTTTAACATTCGAAAAACCAATTGGAGAATTTCATTCTTTCATCAACTTGGTCAAAATACCGTTTGTTTGTATTTTTCTAGAGTTGAAAATTTGGACAGTAGATACAACAACAACAGTAACATACTCAGTATATTTTCAACTCGATTAAAGTCTAGGGGTTAAGATGTACACAGTGTTACCCATGTATTTCAATACAAAGAGACGCTTTAAAATTGTATGTAAGTTAAACCAAGAAATTGTTATATGTGATGATTCTTTTGTTATACTTCTTCTGTCCCATAAAAATAACCCAATTTGAAAATATACAACTTTTTTAATTTGGTCAACATACAAATGTATAACTCATTTTATAACCCTAATTTGTACTAATGCCTCTTCTAGTTATTTTTATAAAAGTTAACCACATATGCATTTATTTTACAACTTAAATTTGATCAAAATTTTTATCTCAAAAAATATTGACAATGGATCTTAATGGAAAGATCTCGTTACGTAAATTAATATGGTATATAACACATTTTTTTAATTATTCATATATTAAAAGATATAATCATTTGAAAAAATGGAAGAAAACTAAAAAAAAATGAAAATTAATGGAAGTGGACCTTGTTTTCTTTACAACTTTTCTTTTGGATATTTAGTCATTTTAATTCAATTAATTTTAACTTTTGTGAAATTGGATTTTTTTTGGGACAAAATTTTTTATTAAACTGAATTATTTTTGTGAGACGGAAGCAACATGTGAAAATGGCTGCGTAATCTGCCTAGTTTGTACATGGAGATTGTAAGTAAACTAGGAAGACTCTCGGCTGTGCTCTTCATTGTGATTTAAGTTTTCCTATTATTTTTTTCTAATATTATCATTCATTGTGGACTATATACTTGAATATATTTTTTATTATGTAATCACTATAGAATTGCAAAGGAAAAAAAAGGTCTTCAAAGCATTAATTATCCATAATATTTGTAAGAAACTTGAGAATTTCATTTTATGAAAAAAATAATGAAAATGGCACTACTAATTAATTTATCACATACAGGGAAATGAGCTCCCTTTTGAGTATGAAGATCACCCAATCGTGATCAAGAAACTTACACGATACGATGAAGTATCATGTGTAACAAGTAAACTGAATAACAACTCAAGAATGAGAAATTACAATGAAAATGGGAGATTGTTTTTATCCCAAAAAAGTGGAAATAACAATAGAACTGTTCTCTTGAAAGAAATTTAATGTGATGTAGTAGTTAATATTCTAAAAAGCAAATTCCATATTCGTTGGAAAATGAAAACTATACCCAAAAAAAAAATGGATAAAAGGATAAAAGCCCCATTCGATTTAAGTTTATTACGGACATACTTTTCCAACGGATGAAACTTAGAAATTATATCAATACCAACATATATATTAGTTATAGGAAGTAGGGAAAAAAATTTATAAAAAAATTTTAAATATTAAAAAAATACAAAATGAAGAAAATACTCATGAACTCAAAAGCATCTGAAGAATCATTTTTCGTTACTATTTAAATACCAAAATTAACAAAATGACATCGAATTGATTTTTGGCTTTGGCCTATTTTAGAAATAAATTTGATTAATGACCTCTAATGAAATTATCTAATAATTTAATGGCATGTTTTGTGGTTCATTCTTTTTTTTTTATTAGTTGAGCAATAATAAAGACAGTAAAAAAATGAGTAGTGAAAACACATAATAACTAATGTGTACCTATTAATTAGGTGTAAAAGTGTAATTTTGTAAGAGAAATAGAATTGTACCATGAAAGTGACTATAAAATAGGAGATAATAATACATTAATACTTATACTCTTTCTAATATTTGTTATAAGGTATTTTGATTTATATTAAGTTTCATTCAGCATGCTGTTCTAAATGAAAATACATTGTCAAAGTTTTATTTTTAATTAAAATAACATACTAGATTCAATTTAGGGTAAATCAAAATATCTTATAATAAGTACCGAAAAAAGTACTGCACATCTGTCGCCATTTTTTCTACTATGTATTTTTCACTATGTATATCATTTTTTTATAAGTCACTCTATATTTTCATTATTATTTTTCATAATCGATATTATATCATTTTTTTATTAGTCACTCTACATTTTCATTATTATTTTTCACAATCGATATTTTTTTAAAAAAAAAATCCACCCCAAGTGGACTATTAACAATACTGGCTTACAATTAGAGTCCAAATCAGAGTCCATGAGTATGAGGAGCGATAAGGATGTGTGGAGGGATAAGGCAGCACATACTTAGCTTGATCAGAGGTAAAATATGCTTAGTAACAAGTCTGTAAAAGTGCAACTCCCTCAAGTATTTCTATTACTTTTACTCTCTTCTGTTTAAACGACTTAAAGAGATGAAGATTATCTCTTCTGTTTTAGCACAAGGCTTTGTCTCCGTCAGATTAGTTCGACGGTTTCTTTAGTTGTAATCAAAGCTTATCAGATGATTCTCAGTCTTGTAATAGTCTATAAATATCAAGTCCTATGTACTGAAACCTTTAAGTCAATAGTAATAGAAAAGGCATAGGTCAGCTTTCTGTTATCTGTCTTCTTCATTATCATTGTTATTTATTTTCTCAATTAGGATTCTTGCTCAAATTCTTAGATTTTCGCTTGGTATCAAAGCAGGTTTATCCTGCCTCTGACCTTACCTTCACACTCTATCTTCCGCCAATTCATCGATATCTTTAAACGTCGATAACTTTGTTACTTTAAAGCTTTCTCAAACAAATTATCCACTATGGCGCGAACAAGTCCTCGCGTTAGCAGAAAGTCAGGAGGTCATTGAACACCTCACAAATCAACCCCAAGTAGACCCTCAAATTTCAGTCTCAGACAAAGAAAAAATCTCATCCGAGTCCATTCAAAAATTTGTTTCTTGGCAAAAGTCCGACCGCCTTCTTCGAGGGTAGATAATTGGAACTCTTTCTGAGGAATCCTTAGGACTAGTAATCGTGCTCGACACTGCCTATAGTGTTTGGGATGCCCTTAAAGATTAATATGCTCGCGACTTTCAAGAACGAGAGTTCACGATCAAACAACGATTAACATATCTTTGTAAAGATGATAACAAAACCCTTGCTGATCACATTCGTATCTTCAAAGGGTTATGTGATAGTCTCCCAGCCATTGGCAAACCAGTTCCTAAACAAGAAAAAGTTTATTATCTTCTTAACAGCCTTGGACCACAGTTTGAGACATTTACAACAACCATGCTCAAGCCGCCTCGACCGACATACAAAGAGCTGATTTAGCAACTCCAAAATCTCGATCAAAGGAGGACTTGGTTCCCTACGTAGCCCGACAGTGTTGTTTCTCCACATGTCCCGCACTTGGCTTTTTATAGCCAACAACAAAGGTCTGCAAATAATTTTAAAATTTCTCAATTTAACTCTCATGGTCGTGGTTTCTCTGCCCAACAGAATCGATCATTCACCCAAAATCAGCAGTCGCGCCAAGGACAGAAAAATGGATTTTCTCGCAAACCGGCGCCACCAGGAGAACGGAGGATGACACATTCTGAACAAGAATTGTATCGCAACGAGACTTGCCAGTACTGTGAACGTCCAGGTCATATTGCCAAAATCTGTTGGTATCTCCCTAAAGGATCAAATTCAGTACCACCTTCTTCAAATCTTTCGCAAGCCCTTGCAACTCTTACTTTAGATAATTCTGTTACGGATCATGAGTGGTCTTCGGATTCGGCTGCTACTAATCATATGACTGGTAACTCATGTATGACCTCTAATATTCATCGCTACACCGGACCTGATTCGGTTATTATCAGGGATGGTTCATCGATTCCTATTGTTGGTATTGGAGAATCTACTCTTAAACAAAACAATAATGTTTTAAATTTACCAAATGTTCTTTTTGTCCTTGATTTAAAGAAAAACTTGTTGTCTGTCAGTCAATTAACATAACAATCTTCAGTAAATTGTGAATTTTTTAATGTTGATTTTTGTATAAATGAACGGAAAACAGGTCGTTTACTCATGAAGGGACTCAAGAAGGGTGATTTCTACGCCATCTCTAATCAACCGGAAGCTTATTTTTCATATCGATTTAAATCCGATGATGTTGATCTTTGGCACCAATGGTTAGGTCATCCTTAAGAGTCGGCAGTTCAAAGATTAAAAAATAAAGGCCTTATTCATGTTACTGGCCGTTCAAAATTAGATCATATTTGTGATAGTTATCAGTTAGGCAAACTTTGTAGATTTTCGTTTGAATCTTCTCAACATCGATCAGTTTCTGTTTTTGACAAAATTCATTGTGACCTTTGGGGACCGTCACCAGTCCTTTCTATCAATAAATTTTGGTATTATGCATGTCTTGTTGATGACTATTCTAAATACACGTGGCTTATACCTTTAAAATAGAAATTTGATTTTCGATATGCTTACTTGGCTTTTGAAAATTATGTTTCTACACAATTCATTAAAAAAATAAAAATTTTTCATTCCGTTGGAGGTGGCGAATTTGTTAACTCTCAACTTTCGTCTCATTTTCTTGCCATAGGTACAATTCATCAAATCTCATGCCCTTATACTCCTGAACAAACTGGTGCTGTTGAAAGACGACATCGGATAATTTGCGAACTTGGAATGACTATGCTTTTTCATAGTCATTCGCCACTTTATCTCTGGGTGGAAGCCTTTTCCACGGTGGTTTTCTTCATTAACCGACTTCCATCTACAGCTATTGAGTTTTCTACTCCTTATTTTATGCTTCATAAATCTCATCCTAATTATTCGTCGTTACGAGTTTTCGGTTCAAAATGCTTTCCATACATTTGAGATACAAAAACTCATAAATTTGACTCGAAATCTGTTTTATGTATTTTTGTAGGATACAGTGACAAGTACAAGGGCTACAAATGCTTTGATCCGATGTCACGCAAATTTTTAATCTCCCGCAATGTTGTTTTTGACGAAAAAAATTTCCCTTTCAAGCGC